CACATCTTTCGATCCGACGGCGCTGAATGCAAACAAGTGACTGCATTTTCTCTTGATGATTTTTTAAAGAAATCTAATTCTCAGAGAAACCGCAGCAAGAGGGCTACATCTGCTGCTTTAGCTTGGAGCAGCCAACTAACAGACAATTCTCACTGGAAGACTGAAATCAAAAATTCGCGAAAAACATTTGAAGAGATTCAAAAGGAGGAAGAGGCCGCAGCAGTACATGAGCGTGAGACAAAGGCGCATCTTGGTGGCACCGTCGGCCATTTTCAGCAATCAAATTCGACAATCAATAGCTGGGGTTTCTATCAAACACCTGAACACGTGTCATTGGCCGATGTACAAAAGCTGCAGGCAGAGCACGAATTTGTGGAGCAGCAGCGCCGAATTCTGGCGGACATCGAGCGAGAGCAAGCAGTCAAAGCTCAAGCAGGTGATACTATCCTATCAAAAGTGACGGATTCAAAAAAAGGATCTCGGAATAACCGAAAAGGAAAGAAGGTCAATGCTGGCACAGGAGAGGGAAAACCCGCTGTGTTAACTTGTTGCACAAATGGAAGTGTTGAGAGTCAGAGCAGACGAAATAAGCAGAAAAAAGCTAAGGAACGTAAGGCCGCTCGAAAGGCAGCGGGTGAGAAGTTTGCGGGAGATGCAATTGCAGACTTAAATGGGAAGAAATCTCGTACACAGCGTCATGTAAAGCTCTTGCCTGATGTTGCGTGAGCCACACCAATTTTATCGAGTAATGCGATGCAGAAATTGCCTTGTTTTTTGGGTAATAATAAAGTGTGTACAAGACCCATTTACTCAGCCTTAGTCGTCTGCAAAGCAAGCAGGTAGCAAAGATTTGCAAGGTCTGAGGGCTTGATTATATATGGAGTGACACATCAATATAACAATAGAACTGAAATTTTACGTGAGGATGTGATTTTATCTTGACAGATGCTGAAATCAAGATGATGTAGAGGTTTGAATACAAATCTTAATTCACAGCTCCCATGTATGAGAGCGGCAACATCTTGACGCAGTGTCGAGCTGAAACCCTCTCCAGCTGCTAGTGCTAGATATGGATTAGCCATCATAATTAATTTTAAAAAATCAGTCAGCAAGTTGCAGTCTAGTTTGGAACATATACATGATGATACTAATCGTAAGAATTCAAAGGCCGCTTCTTGCAAATCACAAATCTGCTGTCTTTTGACAAAATTGCTATTTTCGAGAATCTAAACTTGTGAAATAAAAGAGAAATTGCGTCCATACTACCATGTTTATAGCAAACAAGCAAAAAAGCGACCATCACCGTGCATCAGCAAGCAACCAGCTGCAAAAATGTAATACAGTTACTTACTGGTCGAAAATCACCTGCTCTAGACATTTTTTGATAGATTTGGATAGTTTGAATGTCCTAGTTAAAAGTTGCGGCTCTTCATTCTCACAAATATGAGACGCTGTGTTGTGATCAATTAAAATAATGTGGGCAATGCTGGTAGTATTATTAAATTCCATCAAGAAAGTGAATATATTGACTGAGTTGCGTAATAGATTTCCCGACGTCAAACCAAACAGATTCGGCAAGTGAATCCTTGATCTGGCAGTTGTACATCTGTAGTGAGACTTCCAGCTATATTAATTTAGTGTTAAGCTGACAGACAGCGAACTGCTCGCGGTTGGAGAACGAAGTTTATTTGGTTGCAGACAAATACAACGGAAAACTTTTATAACGAAGTGTCGATCTTGACGTTTTAAGCAAGTGATTATGTAAAATTGCTATATGTGAGAGCCAATAATAAAAATATCGGCACAAATCAACGGTATTAACCTTAGGCAACGAAAGCTTGGATGCAATTTTGCTTAGTACTTATTTCACTATGTATGGTCTGATCAGTTGTTTCAGCTACGAACCCTGGAATCTTTAGATTACGTAGTCTGTGATCATGATGCACAGGATTTGACAGGTTGTTGGTGTATCACTACTATTATCATCTGTAAAGTACACAATCGAGCAACGGTTTAGGGTCTTGACGAACTGTAAAGGAAATGACAACGTCGAGCGCTTTCCTATGTTTACGCAAATTTGTCCTTTCTGCGTACTTCGTACCCTCCAGCATCTCAGCTCTCAACATCACGACAATTGGCTACGCCATTTTCCTTCGGATTTCATCTGCTCGAATATTCAAAGTTGCTCTCAGTATTAAAAATTAATTGTCACCGTCGTACACACGTATCACGTCTCGGTGTTTTCTCAAAAGGAAATTATATTGAAGATTCTTAACAGAGATCTTTGATTTCAACAATGGTTATCGTGTTCAGCAATTTAATCGAATTTGGATGCGTGGTGAATGAGATGAAATTGATGGTTTTGACGGGCACAGTTTTTGTCATCTCCATTCTTCTTGTTCTCGTCTATAAAACGGCGCGTGTATGGGATGACTTCGAAAAAGAAGAGCTTGACTCCAACTTATTACCGCTATTCGCGTCGCGTGCCACAAATCGCTGGGTTAATAGCCGCAAGGCACATTTTGGTCGCCTCGGCACGATACAGGAAAATGAAGTATTCTCTCCCAGCACAATAAAGCAGCAAGGACGTAATTACGACCGCAGCAGCGAATCATAAAAAATTACATACTTGCGAGCTTTGTAAATTAAAGGACAAATAGTATCCAAGCTTTGCATTCCACGTCGGGATTGCCTCATATTTAATGTAAACTTTCATAGTTTTCATTTTATTATAAATTTACGGACACATCTGATTCAGCAGCATCTAAGAAGTAGTAATATCGTCTGCAGCACTTCCTGTATCTAAAAGGATGTGACAAGCTACTTTGTCGTCGATCGCGAATTGAACACCACATTGCACGCAACACTGAAGATGACACGGATAATAATGTAAAGTTCGATAAGCTAACTTTGAATCACACAACAAAAACCAACATGACAGCAAAACTCAATTTGTTCACACTACGGCACACCGCCACGCGCTGGAAGCTTTAAGAGCGCGCGAACGCTTTCTTTAGGCTGCGCTATATTGTCATATCCCTTAAAAGCGCTATCGTGATAGACACTAAAGAGCTGTGCCTTTTTTATCTCAGCCTCCACGATCAACCGATTTACGGTCAGCATTGATGTGTTTAGCAGGGATAGCTAAGGTGATGGTTGCATTGGCACAAGGTCAGATAGGATCAATAAACTTATTATAGATCAAAAGTTGCGACATACCTTTTTCGTCGTTGAGCTAAGCTGTTGTAATGCCGTCCGTTGGAGATCATTGAGGCTTTGTGAGACTTTCAGTTCGCAAGGCAAAATTTCCTGTTCCTCATGGTCTTCCGGTCCATCTTCCTCTTGCGCGACAACAGCAATTGTATCGGAGACTACCTTACTTGTATCTGAGACATCCTTACTTGTATCGGAGACTACCTTACTTGCTGCCCCATCCGAGATGGCCAATCGTTCCACCTCAAGTGTGGTCTTCATTTCGAGCCAAATCTTTTCTTCCTCCACCAAGCTGCGAACAAGACGTTTAAATAGGAGCACAGTAAAAAGTGTACAACCATTTTCACCTCTTCATTCGCTGCTCACATGTTTCAATCATAGCGCGCATCCGTGCATTCTCCGGATTTGCAATTTTGATCTATAGTATCGCAGATATTGTCAGGAAATTGTTGGTGCATGACGAAATCTCAGATATCATACCGCGACGTTTCCAGGTTGATGCTCAGCCATAAATGAAATCAGCTCCTGCTTCATCGTTTGAAGACTAATCTCACTAAGCTGCATGATGTCTCGCCGCGCAGCTGATGTGAGAAATTCTTTTCTCACCTTGCGAAGCTCGCGCTTAACCTGACGTTGCACCATGTGGTAGAGTAACATTTGGTCGGTTGACAGATTTTTGCGCTTCATCTCTTCCTCATTTAATTCCTCACGCAACACCTCTTCCCGCTTTTTTTGCCTCACCAGTCGTCGCATTTCGGCCCTTGCAGCCTTTTCCTGCTTCGCCCGCAGCGCTGCGGACACGGCGGCGGCATCCACGCCGTGTTTCTTACTCACGTCTTTGTCATCGTCTTTTCGCACGCGAAACACAAACATATTGTCCTTTGCGGGTGTTCCAGGTTTTCTCTTTCCCACAGGTGTGGCTTCAGCATGAATCTCACTGATATTTTCATCCTTCTTATCGCTAAACTTGAAGCCTCGTCGAGGCCTCCGCTCAATGTCACTAGAACAAATAACAATTAGCCAAGAGATCTCACCGACACATTCAAAGAATCATGATAGATGCATATACGAACCTTGGGCCATCAACTTTCTGACGTCGCCGTTTCTCACGCCGAACAACGAACGATGCAGACGGCGTGCTGGCGAAAGGTTTTGGCATTTTTTAATGAACACTCAACCCTCCAGCAAAATTTACCTCAGCTTTTATAGCAAATGAGGGTGAAATAGAAAAAGACAATATTGAAAAAATATTGTGACCAGAACAATTTTGAACCGTGTGATTCATAAATTAACAATTATTTCGTGGACAGCTTGTATGCCCTCGCCACGTACTCACAATTTGATATCACTGTCAATCAGCCTCGTTTTCACGGATTTCGCATTATTCCGAACCGTCTGGCTTCTAATTGACGTTGATGTCAGGTGTGAAATCACATTTTTAATTAGTCATCACAGTATGTACTGCGTTGTTTTAATTAACAACCCCTCTTAAGTACGACCAATACTTGGCCATCAATAAAGCTTCCATTTTCATGCTGCGACACATACTCACCTCACCCACGCTTTTGCGAGCGAGAAACCTCCGTCGAAGCGGTAGGTTTGCATCTTCATCTGTAATTTTACAGCGTGGAGATGGCTGCAAATCTCTTCGTCCGGGCAATATATACAATAATTTCAAGCTGGAGCGGGTTGCCACCATTCCTGAATATGGCGTTGACGCTTTGGAACTACGCCATGAGCCTACAAAAGCCAAATACTTGCATCTAGACGCCAAAGATGCTAACAATGTCTTTGCAATTATGTTTCGTACGCCACCTAGTAACTCGACGGGCGTAGCACACATTCTTGAGCATACAACTTTGTGCGGCTCGAAGCGCTTTCCCGTTCGCGATCCTTTCTTTAACATGATCAAGCGAAGTCTTAATACGTACATGAACGCACTTACGGGTGTAGACCATACGATGTACCCATTTTCGACAACAAATGCCAAGGATTGGTCCAATCTCATGAGTGTGTACCTCGACGCGGTCTTCTTTCCAAAGTTGAATGAGCTCGACTTTTATCAGGAAGGTCACCGCCTTGAAATAGATGAAGAAAATGGTGAGCTTGTTTACAAAGGTGTTGTCCTCAATGAAATGAAGGGCGTTTTTTCGGATAGCAACAACCTTTTTGGTACGAAATTGCAACGTGAGCTTATGCGAGGCACAATTTATGAGCATGTAAGCGGTGGTGATCCTGATGAAATTCCGTCGCTTACGTATGAAGATTTACGCGCTTTTCACACGAAAAACTACCACCCGTCGAATTGCATGTTTTTCTCATATGGTGACTTGCCGCTTACTGATCACTTAGCTTATCTTGATGAAGAGATTCTTAGCAAATTTAAGTACCGTGCTGATTCTGCGGCTACTTGCGTGGAGACGAAAGGATTCAGTATGCTGAAAAAATACGGTTCGGAGCCGGGACTCATCGTAGTCAAGGGACCAAGTAGTAACTTTAGCGGTGACGGTGACGACCCTAACACCAAGTTCTGCATGAGTAAATTCGTGGACGTGAAGTCGACTGATTCCTTTACGACTTTCGTGCTAAGAATCGTGGCTTATCTTCTGACGAACGGACCTGCATCTCCGCTGTACAAGTCACTAATCGACTCGAATCTTGCTCAAGATTTCTCAGTGGGTACAGGCTTTGACACATCTACATTTTATCCCACTTTTGGCGTTGGCGTTGAAGGTTTTCAAGGTGGAGAAGCAGCAGTGCCTGCCATTCGCAGAGCTGTCCATGACACGCTGGTCAAAGTTGTTGCCGAAGGTTTTGACAAGGAACGAGTGACTGGGATGCTGCATCAATTAGAGCTCAGCTTAAAGCACGTGACTGGCAACTTCGGTCTGCAGCTCATGCACGGGATCAGCTCGGCTTGGGCTCACGATGGAGATATCATTGAAAACCTTCAATTAAATCCGTTGTTAGAACGCCTGAATAATAACTTGGCTCGTGATCCCAAGTTCCTTGAAGGATATCTTCGCGATTACTTCATGCGCGATGATTTTCACGTAGTTCAGTTGCTCATGTTACCTTCATCGGATTTCGTCCGCCACCAGGAGCAACGTGAACATGAAGTTTTAGCATCAAAACTTTGCCAGTACACGAATCCTGATCTGGATCGCATAGCTACGGTAACGGAGCAACTTAAGCGTCATCAGGAGAAAGAGCAACCAATCGATTGTCTCCCCACTTTGAGTCTGTCCGATATCCCGCGTGTGAAGGAAGATAATTTTGATTTCACTGACCAAATCATGCTCAATTCGACGTCCGCGGAGTTCACGCGGGTGCCATCTACCAATGAGATAACGTACCTGCGCTTTTTGTTTGACTTGAATGCGTTGCCGCACGAATATCATCGGTATATTAGTGTATTTACATTAGTGTTTGGATCCCTTGGTACTTCGCGATACGCCTATGATGAACTTCCTACTTTGATTGCAAATTGCAGCGGTGGTGTTTCGTGTTCAGCTATGATAGCACCATCCCTCACCAATGTCCATACCGACCCGAGCAAGCAATCACTTCTATTGAGCACTATGTGCCTTCCTCACAAAATCGACGAAACCCTTAGTTTGTTGCTTGAGTTGCTTATGGACACACAATTTCTGAGCGATGAGAATTTGCGTCAGATACGTCTCATATTACAAAGCAGTGCATCAAGTGCTAGTAGCAGCATTTCTTCTTCTGGTGCAACTCTGGCTGGAATACGCTCCCGACTGGGTCTAACTCCTGCAGGCGTGTACGAAGAATTATATAATGGCCTGACACAGATTGAGCAACTTCAGAAATGGGCACATTGCTCAGATCAAGAGCTGCACCACATTGCTACGGTATTCCGAGACATTGCGCGCATGGCGTTCGTACCCGGAAATCTGCGTCTTTCGATTGTGACGGAGGACAAGTTGCGCCATCAAGTAGAGCAATCTCTCACGACAAAATTGCTTCAGCCACTCGATAAGTCCTCTATGATACAAGACGAGGCCTTGTCCACTCTACCAAATGTAGAATTTGAGCAACCAATTGCGCTAACAAAGAACTACTTTGCTTTTCCTGTCTCTGTGAATTTTGTTGTCGAGACGCAATCGACGGTGTCATTTGCCCATCAAGATCATGTACCGTTAACCGTGTTGGCACAAATCATGTCGTCTTGTTATCTACACCAGCGAGTTCGGGAGCAGGGAGGAGCTTATGGCTCTGCTGTGTCTCAGAACGAGGGATCATTCTCGATGAGCTCGCACTATGATCCCAACACATTCAAGACACTAGATGTTTACGCTGATGGACGTCAATGGGCTGTTGATGGCCAATTTTCAGACCGTGATGTTCACGAAGCATTATTGTCGGTCTTTGCGACCCTTGATGCTCCTAAAACGGCATCGATGAAAGGGCGGATGGGGTTTTTGCGTGGCATTACAAATGACATGCGTCAGCGCCGACGTGAACAATATTTGTCTTTAAACCGCCAAGATCTTATCAAAGTCGCACAAAAGTATTTTACAGATACGTCAACAAATTGCACTGTAATTATTGGCAAGAACGGTGACAATCTTCACGAATTTGCAAACAAGGGCTTTAATGTTCAGAGATTTCAGTCGCAAGATTAATGGATAAGACAGAGTTCGAGTTTGAATAATAGAATTACACTTTCACATTCACATGCAGCAATGTAGAAACATGGCTAAAATTTGTTGTTTTCTTCTTCACCTGAAATGGAACGGCAAATGGGGCAATCAAAGCGAGTTCGGTACCACTCATTGATGCAATGTTCATGAAAGAAGTGGCCGCACGGTGACAAAACAAGCTCATTTCCATCTAATTCGACCCATTCGCATAAACAGATTGGGCAAGAGTCCGAATCAACATGTACATCACGAGGATCAACATACTTGAGCTGGCGAATCGAGCGAACGTGCTGTTGTTCATGCGCAATTGGAAACTGTAAAAATTCTTTGACGAGAAATCTCGTAGCTACAATCTCACTACATGTTTCTCCTTGATCCGCAGAAAAATACTCACATAAAGCAACAATAAACTCTTCAAGTCCGGCGGTTCGAATTCCTACCAGTGACGACGGGTCTTTAAACATGACTATGCGACGAGGAAAGCCCACGTCTTTAAGCTGCTCGCGCACTGTTCCACATACAGAACATCCACGCTGTTTTTTGTGCGTTGCAAGCCGTATGAGTAACCGCTTACGTAGACGATAGAATTCGGAATAGCGCTTACATACGACCCACTTTTGTTTATAATAGTCACTGGTGATTTCCAAATGGTAGACATAATAGCTTCCAGAAGCACCACGGACAAGTACGGCCTGGCAACTCATAATAAGTTGCGACATAGACTCTTGGTAAATGCGACGTACAAGCACGCGCTTAGCAGCCACGCCATGATCGGCAACAAGTCCGACCGGCATATCTTGAAAGCGTTGTTGGCCTATAGACTTAGCCGGTAGACGGTAATTAGAGGTTTTAGACTGTGGAGCAAATTGCTGACCGTAAAAGGATATCATGTCACCTTCGACATTCTCAACATCTTCTGAGCCAGCGTACGATATAGCGGCGGGTCGCTGTATTTGTTGCTGATATCCTTTTGGCAAGCTTGCACCCTCACGTTTGGCATTGGGGCTACTGGAGAACATGTGGCCAATATCATCGTCGGAACGTGGGCTATCCTCGAGCTCGCTGTCAAGCCATTCAACGTCAACTTCTTGCATCTCTGTGATGGCTGCTATTTTTTAACGATGTGTGCAGAGAAGGAAAGAAAGAGTGACGGAGGCAGTGATGCTGGCAGATATTTAACGATTTGTATAGAAATATCAAGTCACGACTGCCCTCTACCGTTGCCGGAAAAGTCGTGCATTATTGTAACATCGTCGATTGGACGAAAAAAGTACACAAAGAGCACACAAGCCATGATGAATAAAGAATGCATTTCTTGTAAGCGGGATGACGACACGAAGCACCAAAGCGCCGTGAAGAACATCGGCTGCGAAGCAAGCTACCTATGCGTGGATGGTGAGTATGATCATCTACTTTCTGCCAATCTTTTTCTTCGGTTTCGAAGCTGACTGTCGCGTGATTGGTAGCCTGCATGAAGCTTAACAACGGTCGCGTCTCGGCTTGCACAGAGGTGGGTGATCTTATCAAATTTTCATTAAAGGCGAAACGATCAATAGTAATGTCATAGGAATGGGAAGAATTCCGTAAATGCTTTGAGCAAGGCAAGGCAGCGTCCGAGAGTGGAGCCAAGAATCAAAGAGACCACTGACCTAGTAAATTTAGTGATACCCTGCAATGTGAAGATTTAAATTATCAAACCAGAAACACTGATAATGCTTCCATACATAAATGTGATTATTTTTATAACTAGAAATTAGGTCAGATGAAACGTCATGAAGTCCTTATTTCAAGTGAGAATCTAAGTTCCAAATTAATCCGTAATTCAAGTATACGCTTAAAATTCTCAAGCTATTTTAATCATTCTGTAATAGTCTATATATACATGTGACGTGGATGGTTGTCGTGGGAAAAAATACCCTGAAATATTTGCTGAATCAAATTTGTCGGTACAAAATTTGCGTCAAGCTTTAGCTTCTCATTATAAAGAAATCAAGAAGCCATCTTCATTCTCTCAATTTATGCGTTCTTTTCGCAATATGCTGATCGCCGTCGCGGTGACAATTGTGCTATCCCTCACGTCCGCACTACCCACTGATATCTCAGAATCGCTTTCATCGGGTATCATATTTGTTGTGTTACTATTCCACTGCTCTTGTTCTTACTCGTTTGCACAATTTGCAGATATCGCACTGCCGTCACCACTTGCCGAGACTCTACGTCGACTACAGACCGATAATGCTGCTGTGCGTGACCTTAGTGATACTGCACTCTCTCCAATGGTACCGCGCTTTGAGCGCCGCGATGCACTGGTACAATTGGGCGACATGTACTTTTACGGTAACAGCTCGTTGGACACAAGTGTTAATGGAACTTTAGCCATGAGTATATATGCTGAGGCAGCTGCTCTAGGCGCTCCTAGGGCTCAATTTCATGTGGGTGTGGCACTTAGTTATGGATTGTGGGGATTTCCACTCGACGAAGCAGCGGCCATGGTGAACTATTACTTCGCTGCACTTGGCGGGGACATTAGTGCTACAATGGTGCTCGGACATAACCATTTGCTTGGTATTAGCGCTCCAAAAAAATGCGAAACAGCGGTGCGCTACTACGAATTGGCGGCTAATGAAGCTGTGGCGAGACGCGAAGCAAACGTTCATCGTCCTGCCATTTATGACGCACCACATCGTCGTCTCAAGACGGTAGCTGAGACTCAGCACAAGAAAAAATTGCCTGACGATAGTGCAATTGCAGATTACTATCAGTTTTCAGCCGATAAGGGAGATCCGGATGCCACAATTAGTCTTGCAACTTTGTACTTCTATGGCGAACGTGGAGTCTCTCAAGACGTGGAGCGAGCAGCACTGCTTTATAAGAAAGCTTACGATCTAGGAGCTACGGATGCGGCATATCATTTGGGACACTGCTACAGTCTTGGTATTGGAGTCCCACAGAACAATGCTACGGCGTTTAAATACATGCAAGAGGCTGTAAATGAGGGGAACGCAGCTGCTCAAAATGAGCTGGCACACATGTATTTACACGGTAAAGGTACAAAACGAGATGAGGAGCAGGCAGTGACACTTTTTAAAGCTGCCATGAAACAAGGCAGCGTTGAGGCGCTGTATAATCTTGGAGTTCTTTATATGCGAGGTGGTGGATTATTCGATCCGACAGTTCTGGCCCAAACGCATCCCGAATACGACGTCGCGTACGGCTATTTTCTCATTGCTGCTTACCAAGGCCACACGATATCTAAGCATAAGATTGGCCAGATGAGTTTGCATGGAATCGGCACGACCCGCTCCTGTACTAATGCTGTCGAGACGTTCAAATTAGTGGCAGAGCGTGGAGAATGGGACCGCGTTCTTACACAAGCTTACACAGACTTTAAGCAAAAAGAGTATGAGGCGGCATTTATGAAGTACGCAGTTATGGCGCAGCAAGGCTACGAAGTCGCTCAACATAACGCTGCGTATATGCTGGACGCTGGCTTTTTAAATCCGTCTGCATTCTCGCCGACGCTGTCGCTAACGCCTATAGGGACGGAACTTACGACGGATGTTCTAGCATCGACCGCTGTAATGCTGTATAGACTAGCTGCGCAGCAGGGGAATGTGGATGCTAATTTGAAGATTGGAGATTATTACTATTATGGAAAAGGAGGTCACGCTGTGAACTATGTCAAAGCAAGTGCGCACTATTTCCTTGCAAGTAAACACTCAAATGCCCAAGCGATGTTTAATCTTGCGCTTATGTATGAGCACGGAATTGGGATGGAACAAGACTTTAATTTAGCCAAACGGTTCTTTGACAAGGCGCGTCTAGCGCATAGTGATGCTAAAGTGCCAGTTATGTTAGCGACGTGGAAGCTGCGCGCTCATAAGACATTGCGATCATGGAAAAGGTGGTGGGATAATCTCATCGGTAACGTGTCTCCGTCGGCAACGATCTCGTCAGAGTCGACAAGTGCGTCTACTGAAGGGGACTCTAATGGCTTGGATGCCGATGCAAGCTCCATGTTGCTAGAAAATTGGTGGCTTGGCGATCTTATGCAGGGTATGATCACTTCTGTCACCACCAAGTTGTTCAAGCTGCAATCTGAGGACTTTGTCATTGCAATTTTGATGATCGCCCTCGGGATCGTTCTTTACATTCGCTCTGAGAGGCAATATCTACCAGCGCCACCTTTACAACAGCAGTAAAAATGGAATGAGAGCGACGGTAGCGAAACGATGAACCACGGTATATGATAAGGTTTTCGCTTGTGTTGTATCGTTTTTTGGCTTAATTAGACATCATTTTGTTTAGCACATTGCTTTTCAAGCCGTTGGATCATTTCTTGCTGGGCTTGAAGTGTGAGTTTTAGATTGCTCATTTCATCATAAAGCTGGTGCAGCCGCTTCTCGTTATCATCCGCACGCTGTTGCTCGCGCTGAAGAGCTTCAACGACTACAGGCATTAATCTTGCGTATGCCACGTATTTATATCCTTCTCGATTTGTGTAGACAACTTGAGGTGCAACTTTCTCAACCTCTTGAGCAATAAATCCTAATTCACGTCGTCCGTCGTGTAAGAACTTAGTGGGAAACTTCGCTGTATTGTACTCATACTCAACACCCCGCAGTTGAGCGACAATTTCTGAAGCGTTAGTAATGCGATGCACATCGCGCTTGAAACGTTCATCTGATGCATCCACGTAGGCTCCTGATCCCATTACTTGCCCTCCCACTGTCAAACTGGCACCAAAAAATGCTTCGCTCTCAACAAATAGTTCTCCCTGCACTTCTAACATTCCGATGGCTGTCATGTTGACGCTGCTGATATGCCCGCCAAAAATTTCAACACCTCGCAGCTCACTCTCAGTCATATCAATGGAGCCACTGATGCCCTTCACCTCAATATTTTCAGCTTTAAGTGTGCCTGAAGCAGCTTCAAATTGTAGACTGTCATGCTGCTCAAGAATACCACCTTTGCCATAAACAGCTACAAAGCCAGCACGTTGTCCAGCGACTTGAACAGACTGCACCGACAGTGTTACTCCACCCAAGTCGAGATCGTTTGCAGCTTCAAATGTTTTCACGCTTGTGAGTGTCGATGTGTCAAACGTTGCTGCAGTGAGAGGACGCCAAACATCGCCGTCAAAGACGTAAATGGCTGCTGCACCGGTCGCTACATTAATTTCGCCTCCTAGTGGCTCTTCGTCGTCGTTCTGAATGACGAGTAATTGACCGGCGTATGCATGTTGACGATCGATTCTCGCATCGTTGGGAGATTTCACCCCATCGCTTGTAATTTTAACATAGCTGTTGGTGCTTGGAATGGTAAAGTGATGTGAGGCGCGAAATAGAAGACTTGAAAAAACGGTCTGAGCTTGTGAGATTAGTGGTCCACCTGCAATAATGTGCCCCCCGTGCGTTGTAGTGACGTCTCCTTGAGTCTTTAAATTGCCCAGCGAGTCCAGTGAAAATACGCGCTCTATCGTATAGCTATCATTATCGAGAGGCTGTTTTAAGGCTTCAATAATACAAAACGGCGGAATTTCATGATGCTGGCTGGTGAGGTCAAAGCTTAACAGTGCTCCAGCAAAATTAACATTTTTGGACGCCACACGAAGTGCTTTGCCATTCACTTGATCATTCTGAACACTTAGTCCTCCATCTTCAATAGAAAAACCATCTCGCGTTGTAAGTTTTCCAGATTCGATCTGAATTCCGCCTGACTCTACATGTAAACCACCTGATACAATGGTTTGGCCTCCAGATGCGATTGTCACACCTCCAGCGAGCACGTGAACGCCGCCACCGTGTACAATAGTCGATCCTGTATCAAGAACTTCAAATACTTTGCTTTCACTGTTTTGGTTACCTCTCGCTTCGATTAGCGGGCCAAATGACGATGCACTATCGCTTTTGTCACGCTGCAACAACAATACTGGACCAGCTGGTGCAACCAGCGTTGTTTGGCCATTTTTTAGACTTAGGGTGCCAGATTGCACAGCTAAATTTCCATTCTGTATATCAAGTCCTCCACTCATCACTTTGATGCCGTCCGAAAGTACCTGAATACCACCTCGCTCGAGTCTCAGACCACCCTTTAAGATCTCAAGACCACCATTGTGGATTATTGTCTGTCCTCCGCCACTGATTCGAAAAATAGGTCCTTTTGGCTGCGAGATACGCAAATAATCGGGAAGTGTTGACATTTCAGACATGGTAGCTACATCAACCCTTTCAATATGTAGCAAAGCGGAGCCGCTAACCGCGAACTCGCTGGCCTTGTGTAGCTGCAACAGTAACGAGGAGTCTTGTAATCGCAATCGTCCATCATTCATCGCAAACGTGCTCCCTTTTTGAGCCTGAAAGGCACCGCCACTCATAAACAACCCACCTTGGCGCAAGTTTAATGATCCATGATGCCACGTGGTGTCACCACGTCCATTCATAGTAAACAGCGCTTGCCCACCCACATTGGCGCGCATAAGGTGAAAGTCGGCGGACATTTCGCGCGTCGCTGATAGAAGTAGAACATTTCCCTTGAAAAATGGTCCTACAGCTGGTGCAATTAAGACATCTTCATCGTCTTTCTGATTTCCACAATGATCTCCATAAAATCCTTCGTGGCAAACACAAAGTCCCGAATCGAAATTGCAATCCCCATGTCCACTACACTCTTCGTACGATTTTACATTAATCTCATTCATACTTTCGAATGTGCACTGAATGGATCCTGACGATGAGATAAGCTGGGCGTTACTGGCATCGCACCAAAATTCGGACACGGGCGGGTTACCATCATGATGAAAGAGATTATTCATGATTGGAAAAGTAGGAAATGTGTGTATTGTGATGTCAAATATGGCCAGCGTAGGTGTATTAAGAGATACTAGCTCACACGTCTGATTGAAATTAAGATTAGAGTAATTGCAGACCAATAGAGAACATGCCACTTACCAGCTCTCCTAAATTTTGAAATCGTCGAAAATTGTTTGAGCACATATCACTCGTCATGTAATCGAGCGGAAGCTCCATCTCAATTGTGTGCGCTTGAAATGTTATTGACAATGCTCCACCTATAATTGTGGCGTCACCATTTGTCGATATACGTAGACGAATTTTTTTATCTTCTTGATGGGACAATGTCGGATTGGTTCCATGTGGGCACATTTCTGTAAAATATGTAGTGAGTATATTAGCTACTACTGATCAAAATAGATTATTGTCTATCATACTCTTCGAACAGTCTGACGAGGTGTAGCCCCACTGACACTTGCACACATGCTCCCCTCGTCTGTTAATCGCGCATACACCATGCTGGGAGCACTGACTGCCTTGACCTGGACAATGCGTCCCTTTCAGCTCTACTGAACCTGTAAGCTCACTCCAGAATAAATGCACTGCGATGCAGAATAAAATTAGTCGTGCCATTTGTACCAAAACGAGCATGTTGTTTGATGGCCAAAAAGTCAAACTGGATACGGCTTTTCGCTAAGATACGCTAGTGGCCCACACGAAATTATGTGATCATATTATAAAGTATTAGATCAATACAACTCCTAATTTCGATGTATGCTGACAGTTGGTGGATATCTCGTGGTGTTTTATATATGTGTATTAGTGCTTAGTGTCCTCGCTGCGTCGAAAATATAGAAACAATATGGTCAAGCGATTTTGCTCATTAGCACCCGTTTTAATGAATACTTGAGACTGCTTCTAAAGGGCTGTTCTTAGCCCTCTGTACTTCAACATGTCAATTTTTTATTACTGTTTCTCCGTCGGTTTCCTTCTAAATCGCATCAGCTGAGTTTCGAGTTGGCATATTTATCAGATCGTCAACATACACCACAGCGATTACTCGTTCTATTCTTATGCTTGTATATTAATCCTCTTCTGTTACATTTGTTCGAAATGAACGAAACAATGGCGAAGTATCCGGCATTTGATAACACGTGCTCTGTTGGCCAGAAGTGAACATTTGCAGCTCACACGCCCATATTTGATTTGATATTATGATGGCCGAAACATTGATGGCGGTACAACCATCCAATGATCCAATGACAACGCTTTTCGTATTCTCGCCTAATAAACGAGATCCCGAGCTTGAGTTCTGGTAAATGTTCAACAACTGCGCTCTAGCAAACTTTCCAAGTGCATCAGATTCATCGCAACAGATGAATTCTGAATACGACTTTAAAATACTTTACGATCGGATCAATGTTTTGTGCATAGTGCTGAAATTTCTAACTGAAATTGAATTCATATAATTTGTTTTTGCTTTTTAAACGTGTAGACTTGAATTTTTGCAGTATTGGAAATTGTAGGTTTCCTGCATTTGCTGCTATCTGTGTTGTCTTATATCTTCCCGAGCCAAATGCGCCTGCCACCTTTCTAAACCTGTTGCAAAGTGTCTTTGTAAATCTGGACCTCACGAGACGCCTTTTCAGCAATTAACGCCTTAAAAATGCCATTTATGTAGCTGTAAGATGTCTGAGAGTGTTTTTGTGCTGTTAAGCTGTAGTTGATTTGGACGAGATGGTTCATCTAAGACGAGGCTACTCGCAGGCAAGAATAAAAGGAGGCTACTTAAAATAAGAAGCAAAACTTTAATAATCTTCTATAAAGAAAATGCAAGAAAAGTAATGACTCTTGTCATCAGCATTATTGACGTGATTAAGGTACCTTGCTATGGCACGACAGCAAAACGAATTGTTCAACGTGTGAGTATGCCATGTCTTCAAGGAAGATTGGAATCTTACTTAATGTATAGGAGAATTTGGTGCGGTAACAATTGAGACAAAAGATAGGCTTCAAGAGTTAGATTTCGGTAATTTTTAGTAAAGATCCCTTGAAAGTAGATGCCCATTCTGCTGATTAGATCAGCATCCTCTAGTGGGTATTTTCACACGCGAGTTCCTTTTTTTCTATAAGCTTGGTTGGCAACAGACGATCTCTGCTTGATCCGGCAAAAAGATGAAGAGTCCAATCAACTTGTTGGCTATGCTCGCTTTCTAATCTTGTTTTTCTGAATGTTAGTGAGGTTATTTTCAGAATCGTGATGCATCATTCAAAGGGTTGAGCGGCCTCAAAATTCTTTTGCTCCGTCACCTGGACACCAAAAATGTCAAGCATGAGAAAGTCACGCAAGACGGGCAATCTGCAAATTCTACGATCATCCTGTAGGAGCAACGTCTCCATTGACGATTCGAGCTGTGCTCGGCGCTCTTCAAGAGCATTTTTTTGGGTGACACGGAACCACGTTTTTGCCGGAAGCTCCCATTTGAAGGGCTCAAAGACCTCATCCTTACTCTCTTCGTTCTCTAATCTCGTACAGCAGCGAGCAGCACGATTGCTTTCGAGTCGCGTATTAATCTCAGCCGCACAAGCCACAAATTCGGAGAAGCGGCGCTCGACCTGAAATGTGTGACGCGGCTCACCACACGTCATAATCTCCAGTGTGTATGTTACGTACCCTTCGCATGTTACCTGAAAAGTCGGTATACGCATTGTGAATGACTTGTAGTCCGCAGAACATGGTGTCAGTTTAATCATCAAATCTTCGTGTTGAGGCAGAAATACAGAGCAAAAGTCGGGCACAACGGGACGACATACTATCACAAGACCAGGGTCAATCTCTTCCTCACTCTGCGACCCTGCGGTTTTAGCGCTACTGTTCGAGTCCTCCCGTTTCTGCTGCTGCTGTTTACGCTCGGGATCTTCGTCGCTATCGCACTCTGGTGTGGTCGTCACACTGTTACGATTGGATGCACGAAGCACAGCACGCTTTCGCCGGTTGCGAGCTCGCTTACCCGAAAGAATTGGACGCTTGTCGCTTGCCATATTGATCGAGGTATTAAGGTGTGAGGCTGAAAAGACAGAATGACGAAAGAAGTTAAAGTTGAAGAGGAATAGTGAAGCCAAATGAAGAAACCGACTTTGAAAATGTATCACTGTCTTTTAGGACTGTGGTTAGGGGCATAATTTAAAACCGCCATGACTGCAAGAAAATCGCAATGCAATTTTACATTAATGTCGTAAGGTTGTATTGCTCACCGTATTTTATTGCTACATAATCAATTTGACCACAATTCGTGACTTAACATAGAATGTCCAAAAAGTCAAGAATATACTGCAAACATGTGTCTGAAGTCGATGAGTTCCATATAATCTTGCTTGCCACAACACTCCAAGAATATATTACGGACTTCCCTGTACGTGATGAATCTACCAGTTGCCACATAACAATGTCATTTCAGAGTTTGGTGATCACCTTTTATTAAAATTATGATTTCACTGGCGACCACTAAGCCCCCAAGGCGCAAGTGTCACAAGCTCCTCTCCAGCAGTTGGGTGGATTGCAATACAATTATCAAAGTCAGCCTTAGTGGCACCCATTTTCACGGCCACGCCAAAACCTTGCAGAATTTCATCAGCAGCCATGCCTATCATATGTAAACCCACGACCTTCTCCTTGTTGCCGGCACATACAAGTTTCATGGCCGTCTTAGGTTTCTCCTTCGGTACGCCAGTCGCTTCGATTGTCTCGTTAATCAAACCGTAGTACATGTTGACGAAACGGCTTGAATACACCTTAATGTTATTGTCGCCATACTTTTTTCGGGCCCCCTCTTCAGTAAGACCAATTGTGCCGATCGGCGGATGACTAAATATCACAGTGGGAATGTTCTCGTATGATAGCTTAGCGTCCTTCATGCCGCCAAACAAACGGTCTGACAGCCTCCTACCAGCAGCGATGGCAACAGGAGTCAAAGCGGGGGTGTTACATACGTCACCGACTGCATACACGTTGTTTTTTGTGGTTTCTTGAAATTCATTTACTCGAATATAGCCATTGTCATCCGTAGTGATACCTGCCTTTTCCAAATTTAAAGTTGACGTCAGAGGTACGCGGCCAGTGGCGCAGATGACGACGTCAAAGCCTCGATGTTCTGATCCGTTCGTCAGGACCAAGGTCTTCGTGCCATCAGCAGCTTCTTTGACACGAGCAACGGTACTATTAGGTCGCAAGTGGACACCGTCATTTGCCATGGCTTCTTCCAACGTTGTGCGCAGAATATTCTTTGCAGTAAAGAATATTAGAAAAATCGAATTCGCAAGAGCAAAAAGCGAATAGTTGATACCTACATCAAATGAGCGGAGCACACCCTCCTTACGACAGAAAACAGACGTCTTTGAACCTAGTGCATTGAGCACGCCAGCTAGCTCTACAGCAATGTATCCGGCACCCACTATTGCTACTTTCGTAGGTAGCGTCTCCAGCTCAAAAAATCCATCTGAATCAATGCACAGCTCTTTACCTGTTGTCTTTATAGTCAGACTACCTGCAAGTGAAGAAGATTCGTTGATATGAACGCACCTGGGATGTCAGGAATTAATGGGCGACCTCCTACCGCGATTAATATTTTCTTTGCGCGTACTTCTTTGTCGTCTACCTCCACATTTCCTCTCTCATTAAATTTTGCAGATCCTCGAATCAAGTCAACCTTGGAATTCGCAAGATTCCTATTTTCATTCAAATTGTACCAGGTTAATCCTTATACCGCACCTAAAATTCAAAGGTACTCTCTAGTTTCCTAGCATTTTTTTGCTTATTCTCACGTTTCGTAAATTTCATTAAGGCGCAACACATAGGCATCGCGACGAGCCTTGAGCTTCGACCAGTTAAAATGCATCCGATGACTTAAATGACCCCCTGTTGCTGCATCCTCAAATCCGTAATAAAGAAAATCGTGATGAAGTTTGTGATTCATATCGGCTGCGATGTACATGAGCTTCTTGGGAACGCAACCCACGTTGACACAAGTACCACCTAGTCGGTCTTGTTCCACGATAGCAACTCGCGTTCCAGAATAACTAGCGGCACGACGCGCACTAGCCATACCTCCGCTACCAGCACCAATAACGAGGTAATCATACTCGGTCTGCAGATGGCGAGAGACACTAAAAGCTCGTGCTAAACGTAACGTTATCTTCGCTCGTATCATGCCGAGTACGTCGGTACTTTCAGCCAATGATAACACGACTATAGAATGTGAATGATTTATACGAAGTATCAAGTTTTACTGACAATAAATTAACATTTCAGATGACACTTCAGAACTTTGGCAGCGTAGTAGACTGCTGAGTACCCACTGGTGACGACATTGTTAGTGTGGAAGCTTGTAAAGACGGATTTATAACCATATCTGTCTGATGTGCAGCAGCTTGTTGCGCATGAAAGGCACCATATCCAGCCACCGAAAAGTCTAGCAGGTAGGGAGGAAGCTGTGAAGCAGAATCTGGAAAGCTACCACTAGAGTTGTTCAAATTGGCCCAATTGAAGACCTGAATATTAAGATGGAGTTCTCGTTCCATTTCTCCTAACACAATAGCTCGAGCGTCAGAGCGAAGATCGTCCAAACTACGCAATCGCGTCTTCTTTTGCATATGCTGCAACAAGTCCTGACCAGCAGCAGCCGTCACGCGCTTTTCAATACGAGATTTGATCTCTGCGCGAAACAGCGAAGAAGTCTGCTCCAGATAAAGCGATAATGAGTGCCCAAGATGAGGGGGTAATGGACCTGTCAGTCCAATTGGATTTGAAGCTGTTGGAAGCGGATTGGGCTGAATAGGCACGTGCTTTGTGGCACCAGGAGTTGAGTACCTTGACGGCGAATGAGTTGCTGGTGAGCTATTTATTGGTGGACATATGACCATCGGCACAAGAGGTGGTGTGTCGATTTGCGGGGATGGTGACGGTGTGGAGCTTGACGTGTGGATAGTCGAGTTCCCGTTGTTTTTGCTGCTGCTTAATAATTGATGAGAATAGTCAATCTCCAGCAGGTTCCAGCACACCGTACATGACCGTCCGTGCATACTACCTTTGCTGTTACATGAGCCATAATGAAGCAGCATTGCCTTGGCATCATTACAGATTGGCTTGCACTTTCCAACCACAAGTTCACATTCAAGGCAATGGTTTAGAACACGTTGCATCACGCTACAACCTGCAATTTCACACCCTTTTTCACATTGAGCAGCGTGCAGTAAAAGCCACAACGATCCCGCCGTCTCTGGCGCCTTTGTCGGCGAGAACAATGGCGATTGCATCAAGTAATTGTATTCATAAGACGACAATGATGATCCAGCATCCGAGTTCTGAACTGAATGCACCAATATCTGGTGAAGTCGCGTACGCATTGGAACACAACCCGACGGGAGCTTTTCTGCTGGAGGCGTTGAAGTAGTATCTATAGTGACCGGTCTTGTAGCACCTTGTAAAGGTTCAGGGAAGTACGGTAGATCAGTCGCTGTGCCTTTGACTTCGGTGAAGGGGTTGCTCTGCTTCTTTGTTTCACTCGGCGATGATGTTTGTCTAGAGTGCTGGGGAGAAAGTTCCGGCGAAGGCTGGGATTCAATTGAGTTTGTCACACTCGGAGACTCGAAATTACGAATAGCATCAAAAAGATTTGCTTGCTCATTGTCCGACAGAAACATGTCCAGCTCTGACACAAATTCAGCTTCCGCCGACCCAAAAGCAGAACCAGCGCGATTATCGACACTCGCTGACTGGATCGCAGGCTGTTGATGAGAAGGATGCCGCCTCTTGTGAATGCGCTGCTGATAATCTTCAACAGTAGCGCTCGGAGTGGATTTATACATGTTTGAAGGCCAATCGAGGTTATTTGTCGGAAGCGTATTAAAGTCATCAATATAGAATCCAGCGTCGCTATCTATTGGTCTGTTTTGAATATATACATGGATAGATGCTTAGTTGTAGGCACAATAATCACAATCAATAAGTAAATACCACACACTCTTGAAGAAGCTGATCCGGTGAAGGATTCATGTTCATCGCACCGTCATTGTTCTCAGTCAAATCAGCGCTTACAGAATCTGATACCGGCGTCGAGGAGTCGAAAGACTTGTGACGTTGCAGCTTCATCCATCGCTCGCTTCCTTTCTTCCTTTTGCTAGTGACTACATTTATCACAATGTTAGCGCAAAGTGCGACCTTAAGTTATATGACACATACTGTTCGTGGGGTATTCCGTTTCCATACTAGATAAATTCGTATATGATTGCGAGCTTTGTATTCCGCGTCTAACTCCAGGCATCTGCTGCTGCATAAGCATATATGGCTGGCCCACAATTTGCTGGTGTGGGAAGTGACGACGTGATTGATTTTGATACTCTTGCTGAAACTGCAGCAACATATTGTAGTTTTTATTGCTTGGAAATGGTGTGTCAACGACAGATCCCATGGTATCCAGTAGTGGCTCATGCGAGCTAATAGGGAGGGGTATGAGTACATTTCCACTCGCTTCGCCACTCAAGTAAGCATCATATAATCCAGAAAATGATGGACACGATGCTGAGGACGTGAGTCCTGGTGCGCTCTGACTGTTATTGTTTATAAGGTTGGCGGTGCCGTGCTGAGATCGCTCGCCATCCAACGGTTCAAGGTTAATAGATTGAATCATCTCTGTGTCTGGCCACTCGCCAATTTGATTCTGCGGCTCTTCAGGCCAGGACATCATGGCCAATGAGGAATGTGTGGATCAGGAAATAGAGGCGACAAGAAGTGCCCAACCTTCGTTTCTGAAGTTAAGGAATGGCATGGAAGCGTATGTGAGAGCATTTGCACAGAAACTGGACACACATGATGACCCATCTGACTACCGGTAGTACAATAAGCTATTCGTCTCCAAACTTTTGCATGTGAATTAGCTGGATCTATTATGGATACAAAGCATTTTATGCCAAGGCTGCTTCTTCGTAAGCATCCACTTATGTTTTTCGCGGCGTTTTTGGTCATGATGACACTAGTTTGCTTTGAATTCTAGGCAAAAAAATCTCATCTTTTGAGAGAAGATATTGTGGCAAATGATGAGTTTGTAGATTTCTTGTATGAGGTCCTCGTCTCAAACGGCATGCCAGTCCAATTACAATACTAAAAAAATTCTAGCTAAAAAGCTTACCCTTTTTATACAGAAGCTTAACTGCATACTTTTTAATTTGTGTTTCATAAAGTCCATTATGCATGCGAAAGAATGGGGATTCATTTGACATGCAAGTAGTATGTATCCAGTATGCAGCTTTCGTTCCGAATGCTCATGTAACATTAACAACGAGTTTGAGCTGGTGTCATCGACTTCGATGAGTTTGATAAATTAAACAAGAGGTTTCCCATGCTGCTGTTTCCTTGCTTTCGACTTCAGAATCGTATGCAGAAAGCCACACTTGGTGACAGTCATTGCTTGCAAATTTCTTTACGAACTCTTTTAATTATTACTCCATAATCCATTCTGAACTAGTCTAGCCTGTTTATTAGAAGTCGAAATATAAATCAAAATTAGTTAATTTGTTAGTAGCTAAAATGTGTTGTTTCAAATCATAGTGTGTCAATTATAAGAATTTGATTTGGTTCTTAATTTTTTATGCGTTAAGATAAGATTGTAGCGTAATGGCAGGTTACAGATCCAACATGGCTATTTATAAACATTGTTGTAGGTGTAGCTGAGATTCACCGACATTACAGTAGGTAAACTTGATATGAGATTGTTACGATCATGCGTTCAGCCATAGTCTAGCTACTTTACAGAATCAGCACAGACCATGACTTAACTATCATTTTGGCACACGTATGGCTTAACGCTACGCCTGCCCGAACCAGTGTGGTGAGCGTATGTATCTAGTAACAGTCTAAATAGAGTCAATTCTAGTTCAATGTACTCCTGGAACAATCGAGTAAAATGTCAGCATTAAAAACCTGAGAGGCAATCGGTTCCGCTCCTGGTAGGAGCGCGCAGGCTTTGAAAGTCAAAGCTTCCACCGTGCATAGGACATAGCAACACCGTTGCACTTGGTAGTACTTGTTGTCAATTCCACGACAAAGTTGTAAAAGCATGTTTCCTCTGGGAGGAGAATACATAAAATGTCTGATCACCAGACCCCTGGACAGATGGACCAACTTAATAAGCGTGTGTCAATCTTAGGTCCGGACGGGACCATAGAATCGGCTATCAACGGGCAGGGGCGCCCCGACCGAGCGTCATGGCCTTTTTGGGCCGGCACAAAGCAAATCCCTCCCTTTAGATGAAGACGGTTGGTATGGTCTTGAATAAGGTCTTGCTATAACAAGGTCAAAACGCGTAGAGCTTGCGATCTCCAAAATAGAAGGTTGAGTGCAAGAATGGGCACTTGAATGCAATACCTTTAGTTTAAGAGGCGTTCTCAACGTGGGGGTTTTGGAGCGGCAGCCAAATAATGTGTTCACACTGTTTAAGTTATTTGCGTTTTATGATCTTGCAATTTGCCAAAGGAGTCGAAATCTGGCAAATTTTCTCCAGGGGCTCAAAGCTCTAATTATAGCACTTCGTCTTACCACCAGAGGCGGTAATGATGACCTGGGCATTCTGTGAGACTCGCACCGATATCTTCTACCCTCAAGGAAGCAGTGGGCGTCATATTGAAGACTAAGTACAACATCTGCACCGCTAGGGCCGGATGGGGCGCTGGAAATGTAAGCTATCCAACCGCGGTAGAGGCGATGGACCTCAGCCGATTCGAGGGAGAGAATCGAGATCTCTTAGCTGCTGGGCAACTTTTTGGTACTCTCAATTGCTTCATCTGTGGGAGTACAAATCATCTGCGCCTCGTACGCCCATTTTGCTCTCGGCTGAAAGGTGCAAAGGGTCGGGCTCCCACGCAAAGTCGTCTGACAACCCCTCTTGTAGAAATGTCTAGTCTTTGTAGTTTGTTTGCATCATCTGAGAGAGATCTGGATTTTGTACCTCAAGTACGTTGTGGTCAAAAGCATTATGCCCTCAAGGGTTAAGTATCACTTGAGCGATGGAACTCGTAGTCCAGGGGTGTTGATTGTTGAGACCATCGCTTTGGCGTTGTGGGACCGTGAAATGACTTGATGACTTAAAGAGCGTCGTAAAATTACGTACGAGATGCGACTAGACGGCAGGCGGACGCATTGACGATGCTGAATACGAAATCTGACCGTCATGGGACGGGGGCACAAATGAAGTGTCGTAGGTTTTGTTAGACGTATAAGTGAGATTTGACAGTCTACCCCTGGATCTGGTGTCGAGACACTGATTCTGTATAGCTGTCACCAGCCATGGATCGACTGGACGTCGAAAATGCTAGGTGTCACGCATTTCTCTCCAGGTGAAGCTATGGTATTTCTTGTTCCCATCTCTGTGAGGAAGTAGAAGTTTCTACGAAGCTTCTATAGATTTTGTGCAGAACATGAGACTGTCAATAATTGATGGCAATGTTATTGCTTGGTGCCTTGAGATAAGCTTGAAAGGCATTAGCGACGGAGAAGGCGAAAAGCAATTGTACATCGTGGTCTTCAGAGTGTAGACGGAGAAGGACAAGCGCATTTTGTGGTCCCTAGAGTGTATCCTCGGCGAGCCAATACACAACAGCTGTGAGCAATAATACTTTAGCCGACTTGGCTTGCCAGTAGCCATTGTTAGGATCTAGATTCGCTCTTACAGCGATTTTTTGTGTAATGTGTTCAAAGAGCTAGACACCACTCCACCGTTGGCCACCCGCTGATAGATGGTCAGTCGGAATGCAGAGATTGCGTTACAGAAGCTATTTGTCAAAACTCTTGCACAGAGCTGCCTGGGTGCTACGACAAATTGCTTCCACCTATTGAGTCTGCGTTGATTGATGCAGTGCATGTTTCTGTAGACACTATACCCATTGAAAGTTACGGTGCGGACAACTCTGCGTGTCATCGTCACTGCCTCGAAGTGTCTCCGGCTTTTGATTGGGGGCTGTCGACACGATTCAACCCGCCAATTTCAGTCCGGCTACACATCGTGGAAGACTCACAATTTTTATCCAGCGAGATCAGGTGTCATACGAGTGTGCGCAACACTATCGCCGAGGGCAGATGTGCAGAAGTAACATGGAGATATTGGAGGTAGAAGATACAAACGTGGTTCTGTAGTAGGTCAAAAACAAATTCAGAATGCAATTAACTTTTGTCCATTGAAAAAGTTAACAGTCAGACTAAATGCAATCACTCTGCATCAAGCCGTTCACAGCTGTAGCAAAAAGATGAGGTTACAATTTGAGCGCCTCGATGAGAAAGCAAATTCATTCTATGATTTAAGTAGGCGACTCAATCCATATCACGCTTCTAGGTAGCCGGGTGTGAAGCTATCTGTTAAAGACATAGCAGCAAGTCTATCATCCCTTGTACCTGAGTACGGCTACACGGATGAAGAGCACCCGGATGGTTTAACATCCCAAGCGCTTATTCTGTGGTTTGAAGCAATCACCCCGAATGTGGAAACAGATCATCGACAAGTTTATACTCAAGCTGGGGTACAAGAAGTGTGAGGTCAACCACTGCATCTACGTCAAAAGAAATGAACACGACAGATCTTGTGGCTTTTTTTGTTGCCGATCTGGTGATTGCAAGCAACAATAATGGTTACTCAAGTCAACAAAGAACGAGTTCAGGGATCGATTTGATATGACGAATGTGGTCCCCTCGGCGTTGAGATCGTAAACGATGAATCTGCTGGAAGTGTTTCGATTCGTCAGACCAAGTGTGTCAATGAAATTTTGAAGAAGTTCAGCATGGAAAACAGCGATCCGGTCTGAATCGCTCAAGATCTACGACTCAATTCGTCCAAGACTACGTGTGCAGGCGACTGCAAGCACGAATAGACCATAATCACCATATCGCAATGCCGTCGGCTGCATCACGTACCCGATGGTTGCGACTAGGCTGGACCTTGCCATTGCAGTAGGATTTCTTAGACAGTTTGCGGCAGAACATTGTGAAGCATGTTTCGATACACTCAATGCACCAATACCTTTGGCATAAAATTTCAAGCAACACGTAAAGACGGACTTAAAGGCTATTTGGATGCGGATTGGGCTGGTGACATCGAGGCTTGACGCAGTAATTGGCTAAACGTTTATAATGAACGGCAGATGCCAAGTCTTGAAAAGCAAAAAAACGACGACGGTAGCGCTGCCATCGACAGAGGCGGAGTACAGCTTTAACAAAAGCAACTCAAGAAGCGATGTGGCTCAAAGTGTTTCTTTGTGAGCTCGGCGAGATGAAAGACGAGGATCCGGTCAAGATTTTTAAAGACAATCAAGGCACTATTGCACTGGCCAAGAATCACAAGTTTCACCAACAAACCAAGCACATCGACATCCGCTACCACTTTGTGCGTGGGAAAGTCGAAGGTGGTCAAGTGATAATGCAGTACTGATCTACTAAAGACATGAAGGCTGACATGATGACCAAGCCAATCACCACGGTCCAGTTTAGATTTCTTCGTAAAATGCTGGATATTCAAGCACCAAGTACTGCCGAGTCGAGTGGAAATGTTGTTGAAGACGCCCTCGTCGTTTGCCATAGAAGCGTTTTGACGAGCAGCCGTCAACCAAGCGATATTAATTTTACCGGTGTGAACAGGCTGATTGCGCATGATGCAGTTTCGTGAAGTATCCAGCAAAGAGGCTATACACAAGCGCATCAATAGTACATAGTTCCAGTAAAGAATCCAGTAGAATATTGGGTAGAACATTCTAGATAGGCTTAGAGATAGCAAAGCGAACTAAGGACCTTGAATATATTTACTTTGTATTTTGCCGTCTAGTGCTCAAGTGCCTTTTCATCACTTCTGAGGTGTTGGATCAGATACTGTTTGCCGAGCAACTTTAAGACGCTCATTAGGCTTTTTATACCCACGTACAGAAGCATATATGGGCTTTACCGTAGTGCAGCAAGCAACATCAGCTGAGCTATTTCACGACGTGATCAAGTCTGCAAAATTCATTGCAACGCTTGCACTCCTTGTCGGGCGAGCTGATCTCCCTGGGCTATCTCTAGCTCATTGACTAAGAAGTGAGTCTACTAATGGGATGCGCAACACTTTCCATTTAACTCCGAAGTTACAACGTCATTTTGCCAAAAAAAAAATTTTACTTTAAAAATTTTTCTGCTTTACATTTTAAATTTGTTTATTGGCAAGAAAATAGAAAGATCTGTTGAAATACTTTATGGTGCTAAATCACCATGGGAACCAGTATCAAAGTGCAAAATGTGTCTAGTAAAAGAGGCGGGGTGTAGGGAATGCGTCTTCCTCAGTAAGCTGTGATGTCATATGTTTATCAGCGATGGCGGAAGTGTCAGGTGAGTCGCAACGACCACATCCAATACCTCGTCAATTTCGGTCGTCGGCGGAAAGAGTGCTTTTTTGGACGCAAGTTCATGTATGAAGGAAAGAAACTTCCGATGCGAAGAGCAGGCACAGTGGGGTGCAAGATTTGATATGAAACTTCATTGTGGGAAGCTCAATTATGCAAAAAGTCACAATGTTACAAAATAATGTAAGCTCTCATGCCCTCTCAACTTGTTGGAGAAGGTGTGACGGAGTACGCACTGAACTATTGTGTACGTACTCATATGGCGTTGTGCAATTGTGCAAAAACACATAACACACTTTTGTAGTACTGGATGCAACCTCAAAATACCAGGATTTTTAGAACATGATTGACAACCTAGGTCATGCAACGCGCAACGATTTTGAAATGAGTAATTGCGGATCTCTCCCAATGACCCGCTTTGTATTAAGTCTGGAGCCCAAAAAAATCTACAGCTTCATTGTTGTGACAATGCTTGCTTGGCTATCATTCCCCCAAATTTCAGTTGTTGATCTGGTGAAGTTATCATTAAGCGCCGCAACGTCGCCCCGGTGTAGCGTAGATATGAGGTGCTTCGCTATTCAAGCGTTAGATGGAAAAATGCAATGTTAATTGATTGGTCCCTGCTTCGCAAAACTAAGTCTAGCTTCTAAGTTCATTTCTTCATGTCATGTCGTTTGCTGTTACCAAGAGTCTGTCGTCTACTGTTACAAATATTCGGTCGTCTGCTCTTACTGAATCTTCTAAAGTGTGATTATTTGGCTATGACTTACTTAAGTCAGTTTGGAATTGTCACATCGGCTCCATTCATGACGCGACCATTACAATGAAGGGACAGCTACCATTTTTAAGTGGCCAGAAAAATAGGGACATATGGCAATCGTATACCAGATCGTGCATTGGTCCACTTTCAGAATGTAACGATCAGAAAGAAAGTTGCCATTATGGCGGTTGGTCTGCATCGCCAGCATAAGATCAAAAATCTTTATTCACCGCGATGAAGGACATGATTTTCGACAGGCTCATGGATTCGCGACTCTGAAGGACTAAAGAATGTGGATAGCCAGCATGGATCCGCAGCCAATACCCCTATTGCCGACAACTGCGCGACATAAAGACCATCTGCCGCGTCACATTACTTGCCCGAAAACTTCACTGAGCACTACGGGTTGTTCTTCTCCACAAATCGATCTCATGATTTTTATGGACGGCGTCATCATGTATTAAGCTGTTGCACAGATGATGTTTTTGATTGAGCATTTGCCACGCATATTTTTTTAACGTTTTGGATGGACGAGACGGCTGTGTGAATTGTAGATGGTTGGACTCTGACTGTAGATATGGCTGGCGCTCGGCACGCTGTAGGTTTCCCAACAAGGTTCGCATCGATATTTATTACGGTGACGATTGAGGCGAGGTGTGCACGTATCAAGTGCAGACTCCATGTGCTGCCCCCTATCGCCAAAATTGCTAAAAGTGTGAAAATTGGTGTAAAAAATGTGAATACGTGGCGATTCTTTGCGTGCTGTCCCTGGCGGTCGTACACCTTGTGAACAAGCCAATGAAAGCGATAGTCAAGATCATCCCATATGCCAAAACTTAAGCCGCAAACTAGAATGATCAAGTGGCGTAAACAAAATTCGGCATCACTAGACCTCCGCCAACTATGAGCGGGTACTTGTTCGTGGGCAAAAACGAATAGTGAAAGCGCGCTGAACGCGACCGACGGTGCTTAACTATGACTGACCCCAAAAAGTGGTTCATGCTCTGTTCGGCAACCACTACGACAAGGAATCGAGTTGCGATGCGGATTGTGTGGATTGATCCAATTGTCACGGAAATGCTTGAAGATGGGTTCGGCGGGTTTTGTATTATTGTACACATGCCTACCGTGAATAAACAAAAGACTATCCACACCATCCACATTCTTATTTTACCCCTCATCATACCCCGGGGAAATAATATCCACGCACAACGCCTACAATCTATCAGGACTCAGTCACGCGATAACAAATTCGATTTGAGGGAGTCACACTGTCTTTGCAGCGGGGCTGCCGTAGTTTAGCGCTTGAGGAAGCGTAATTTAGGTCACCGACCTTTCCTTCTTTACAAGAACCAATACGAGTGTAGCGGATCGCAATCCGCTACCTCCAAGAGTAGCTAGCACCTTAACTTAGGCTAATAGACTTTTTGGTTTAAATTTAAAACTGATTTTTATTTATTTTTATCTGCGGCAAAGCCGCCTAATTTTAAAGTTCAGATTTTCCTGAGTATATATAGTAAAATCTAAATACATGCATAACTACTGGCTACCTAGCCAAATACCGTATTCTTGTTTGGGTGCAGTCACACCATGCCGATCTCGTGTGACACACACCCCTGTTACCAGGGTACTCATAAGCCCGTTACAGTCTTGGTGTTTCATGATGTTGTTACTTTCTTAGGCACCGTCTATTGTGGGCCAGACGAACTGATCCGAATTCGTGATTGACTTGGATCCCACCCAGTTCGAGAACCATCTGATCACTATAATATTATTTTGTCCAGTTATTTCGAGCCTGATATGATACGTTTGAACAGAAGACCGGAGTTTGGGAGATCTATTTCGACCATACAAAGGTGTTGATAACACAAGTTTGTGTAATCGCTTTTTGCTTAGAGGAAGTTTAGCTGCTGCAACAGGAATATTTTGTATATATGTTTAGATCGACTTATCCTCCATATTTGTCACTCTTGAAAACAGTTAAATCTAAGAAGGAAGTTTCTGTGGAGGCTTTTTGTGCTGCTTCTTGGCATCGTACACACCTATCTTCCGTGTGTATCCGACGCGGACTTTCAAACTTTCTCTGTGCGAGACGCCCGGCAACCTGACCATTGGTGACACATGCGGTTTTTCAACCTGTAATATTTGTAGCATTACTCATAGATTAAAGAGGCCAAAAAAAAAATAACACTGCGTGTCTATTTCTTATGTTTGTAGACACTATTTAATGAAAAGCAGAAAAGTAACTTGATAAAGTCTTGTCATATTCGCTTCATTATTGTCGGGATGAAGCAGCGCGATATGTTCAAGGTAACACTACTATGTTTGTCATGAATATTGAGAACATCTGATAATTCGATCGAATCGAATTGTTTGCACTGCGATATCCCAGAGTCGTGTGAAGCGACTACTCAAGGAGCAGAAAGACATGGGTCAAGTGACTGAAGCCGCAGCGGTCACTTGCTGTAGGTAACCAAAAAACGTAGCCGCTGATATGAAAACGAATTGAGTGACGGTTTCGATTTAATGCAGCCTCGATCTTGAAGGTTTTCGTAAGGGATATAGCGACTAAAATGCAGAACCACAAAGTGGAAGGAGGTGGTTTGACACCAGTTGAACTGTGAGTTTGACATTGTTGTCTTGTTTTTTATATATGTGCTTATTAGAAGATGTGTATTTTGTGAAACAGAAAGAAAAGTATACTGGCAAGTAGCGAACTCAGTTTCCTGCACGAAAAGGTGGTAGCTATTGATGAGAACAATGCAAAATACCACAAACGTGCTCGTAGAAGCCAAAAACGGAACTTGAAGACAACTGCCAAGAAGTGAGTAGCTTGGATGGGGTGCTTTGATTGCTGCTATTGACACTTGGTGTGTCTAGATCGACTACATCAGCTGCCAAAAGTCTAAAAAAACCGCGAACATTGAAGACGAAGAAGACTACCGAAAGAGAAACGGTGTTAGAGCAAATACTTGGCAAAGGATCGATACGTGATGGCGTCGGAGGTGATGATGGCAGCTCAGCTCGAAAGTGCACTTTGGATATTGAGGAGGATGAAAACTACGACGAGAGCGATAGCGATGAGTGATAAGTTTTGAAAATAAGGTTGTTGGTGTATGCATTCTATTGCCTCACAAACGGCTACTTCATGACCAACCAATAGCAGTCGATGGCCTTGATTTACATGATCCACATGTAATTAGATGCTTCACAGATTCAACGTTGAATTAGCTTACGTCTGCGCATCATTAAGCAATGACTGCCACGTGGGGCCGAACAACAAGTCACGCGAAGGCGATCGACGAAATGTTGACTGCTGGAGAGCAGTAACGACTGGCCCAGGAATTGTTGGTAGTACTCCAGCAATTGTCTCGCTGGTAGAAGTAGTTGGGTGAGGAGAACGAGGAGGGAGAGCTCTTGAAGGCTTTCCATCTACAGCTACGACCTTTGCTGAGGACACATTATTGTCGCCGGGAAAAAAGAAGCTGTGCATGCGGGCGACGACCTCGTCGGCCTCTTTCTGCTGAAGTACAAACGACAGGTTCAAATCTTCGGCAGATTCACTAAGCAGCAGTACATCGTAATTTTCAAGCACACTAAATACACAACCAAGCTCTGCCAACGCCTTACGCAGTCGGCGGCCGACAATTGAAACCACCGAGCAGTCTTCGAATACCCGCACTTTCGAGTGCTCATTCAAAGCTTCCAGCAATTGGTTAAATGGTGCACCTTGAATTCCACCAGGAATGTGGTCCAGCGTGACTGTCACGGAGAATTGTGAGGTTGCGATCAAATCCACTGAAATTCCGCAAGTTTCAAACGGAGCAAACACCTTGGCCAGAAAGCCTGAAGTTCCGCACATGTCAAAAGCGGTAATACTTAGCGTTGTCATGTTCTGGCGCTTGACCACGGCAAGAATCTTGGGACTTCCGTGCTGTGCCTTATCTGCATCGGTAGCAGGATGAATTACAGTCTTTTCGCCTTTGGGATCGTTTGTATTTCGAATCTCTAATGGTATCCCTCCCCACTGTACTGGATTGATGCAACGAGGATGCAGCACTTTGGCACCCATAGCAGCCAGCTCTTGTGCTTCACGGTAGTCAAGATTTTTAATCAAACGTGCGTCAGGTACAAAGCGCGGATCTGTTGTAAACATGCCGTGCACGTCGGTCCAGATTTCGTACTTCAGAGCACCTAGCAAAGAGGCGAAAAGCGAACCCGACGTATCGCTTCCTCCGCGTCCGAGCACACATGTCGCTCCTGTGCTTGTGCTGGCAATAAAACCTTGTGTCAGTACTACACGCTTCCCGTTAGCCGCAACTTCAGCTTGTTCTCGATCCAGTCGGGGAAGAACCTCTGCCTGCAGATACTTGTCCTCTTCAGATTTGGCACTTGCGTTGTCACTGACCAGCAGCTCTCTTGCATCCACTCGCTCGACGTCAGTGAGACCATAGTGGTCTAAAATACATTTCCCTAAGTGAGTCGACAGCAATTCTCCAAATGCTAGTACACGTGCTTGAATCCTAGGCGATGCTTCTTCTGTAAGTCGAATGCCTTCCAGCATGCGGACGAGATTCTTCAGCTCCTCCACAAGTGGATGTAGCGTCTTAGGCAGTAAAAAATTAATGGGAGACCTTGAAAACGACGATCCATCTAAATCTTGGCTGAATATGCTGTCCAGCCAGAGGTGCTGCCATCGATTGTACAATTCTGCACTGTCTTCTATACCCTCAAGCGTTGGCAAAAGTCCTACCTCGTATGCCAGCGAAAAGTGTTGAAGTGCTATGCTGGTGGTTAACTCCATGTGGCTGCTGCCGCGTTCACTGGCTAGCGCTAATGCTTGAGTAAGTTTGTTTGTGATTTGGGATAAAGCTGAGATTGTGACCCACACGCGTGAAGATGACGAAGACTCTAGGTGCGAGCGGATCTGGTTGCAAATACAACGCCAGCGCTCAGCAGTTGATACGCTTGTGCCGCCAAACTTGAGCACTACCCAAGACGACAAGACCATCGATATTTGTATATTTCTGACAAGAATGGAAACGCGGAATGAAGCGCATTGCTCATCCAGTGATACAATTTTTGCAGTTAATAGAATTACACAAGTTCTGGTACTTTTATTTAAAAAATTGCAAAATAATGACACCTCATCTTTCATATTCGTGTTTTGGCAAAAACTGTACATACATTTCTGCTATGAATAAGATTAGCCTCGCGTTGAGAGCAATGTTAGGTTCTACTACGTGTTACTCAATGTTCCAGTTCGCTCCACTTCCCAACCTGCATGAAAAGTAGAACGACACACGGCGTTTCACGAACGATATAAGAGTAAAAGATTGGCTTTTTAAGAGGATATGATTTAAAAAAGCTTAAATAATAATTTCGTACCCATAAGGTCGCGAAACAATACCAAAGCCCGAACAATTTGTTACAAAGGTGTAGTCATAACAGTTTCGTACGTACTATCTGACTAGCTCTTGATATCTTGGGCCCGCGCATACATAGTACCATTTTAATTTGGATACATGTGATAAGCTATAGTTTTTATTAATAAATATTTCAAAAAAAATATTTCATCTTTTGCCCAATTAAAGCAGTTGGCAATAGCATTCGCGACGAATAGTGGCTTATGATATATCTTCTGATGCATTGATAACTTTAGAATAACAGCTGGGTACATGTATTGTTGAAAAAGGGTAAATTTAGTAATATTTCTGAACAGCAGTATGCCAGCCCAATAGTCTGATGTGAAATATGGCATTTAACAGCTTTTTATTGATTTACCAGTAAAAATATTCCAGAACAGTTCAAGATATTTCTTATTAGAAAATTGTAATAGGAGAGGTTAATATTTTGCGCTCATAAGTTACACGAAATGCGAAAGTAGTTCTAATAAGAATATGAGCCCTGGCTGCTCGAATCGATGTAAATCGTCACTGCACCGCCGTGCACATAGCTTTCACCAACGTCATGGCGACTTGTATTAAAATGATGTAACATATAATCGTACTTCACACGTTATCCTATCCTTGATTCGCCATCGCCTGCCCATATGAGGCCGTATTTCTTGATAATGTATGACAATAAGAGCACATTAGAAACATAAATCAAATCAAGTGTAATGAACAGGCCAGTGACATCACTTGTTTTGTTAAATGGACAGACTGCCATACACGATGGAAACTCCAATTTTGATTTCTAAACAACCAAGCGCCGACCGCATTGCGGGACAAAACTTTATGGTGGGTCCAGCTCACTCCACTACCGTTTTAAGTTGGGATTTCCTTTCGTGACTAGAATTCGTGTGCATCAACCAAAAATGTAAAATCAAACTTTGAAAACGTGTGCATTGTGAGCCTTATCAACAACTGTAATTGTATTTCTTCGGTTCACATAATTAAAGTTAATAATATCAGCTATTGGCTGCATTGTAACGGTATGATATTTATATCATGACATAGTTGTGAACTGTAACTTATCCACTTCCAGCGGGGGCGACCACGAGGCATGGATCAAGAAGTTGACAGCTGCAGCGACACGAGTGTTCGAGTCAACGACCTGCGTCCAATGATCCCTCTGGAGAAGGAAGCGTTAGCGGCATGGGTACGAGGCACTCTTGTGCTGGAAGAGCCTCCAGGCTTCATCCAAGCGACCCACAGTAAGGCAATGAGAGCCTCATTTCTGCAGTTCTTTGAGCAGAATCTGCAAGGAAGACTCGCAGCGACAATCCCTCCGGAGGTTTTCATAGCCAATCACACCGCCGAGACTACCCTGCTCATAGAACTACGGATGGCGTTCGACCAGGGGCACATCAAGGCGGGAGAACTAGCCAGAACCCTAATTCGAATGATTTAAAACCCCGGCACTCGTCGAGTCAAATTCTTCCTTCCGGAAAAAGCGACTACGGACGCATGGCACGGCAAGACAATCAGGTTCAAGCACGTCCAACCTTAAGCTCATTGATCCGGACATACTAGCGAAAGATGATCTGCCGACGGATGAGACTTCAACTAAGAAGAGGAAGAACCATGCACTGAACTACCAGACTGGGGTGCTAACTCACGACCTGACCGCCTTCGAAGTGATGCAAATCATCGCCACAATCGCGAGACAGACCCTGGCTGAATCCAAGGCCTACAATTCTAATTACTTTCTGGTGATCTTCAAATCCGAGAATTGCCCACCACAACTGAAGAATGTCACCCACATTTCGGCTGGCAAGTCCTCTATCTTCATTCACCACGTCATGTTCTATCAACGCATCCCATGCTTTGCTTGTTATGACATCAACCATTCCGACACGGTATGTCATAACGCTGGGAAGAAAATGAAGAAGTACCATTGAGACTTCTCGCATAACTTAGCCCGAGCGGATCCGATCAGACCAATGAAGTTGAAACATATGGCCTTGGAAGAGCGTTTCGAGCACATCACGGACTCAGCTGAGAGGCTGACTACAATGATAGGGAAGTTGAAGACCTTTTCGACAAAAGAACCACTCTTGGAACAGACCGAGGCTGGGGAAAAGAAAGTGACGACCACCAGACAGACCGAAGAGACAAGCGCAAAGCAAAGCAAAGCACCACGGTCAAACAAGCGACCAAGGCAGGGTCAAAGTCGGATGGCTGGCACAACTCAGTAGGCGGGAAAATCAACTTCGGCAGAGCGAGCTACAACGCGACTCAGCAGCAACGAGAGCGATCAGCATCGCTGGGCGCCAAGCCGAAGACACAATCCAGTAGTAAGCCACACTCGAGTCAATCTACGGGCAACAATCCAGCCATGGGTAAGAACGATGATAGCAGAGCTACGAAGGCGTCATTGGACAGCAACGGCAAGCCGAAGAGTGGAAAGGCATTTAAGACAGAAGAAAGTGGAAGAGCGTAAGAAGCAGGAAGATCTTGTGAATGTGATGAGGTACGGATCTTTGGTTGATGATAAGGTGAACGAAGGCGAGAAGGGACCGGTCACTGACTCCGTAGTCGACGAGACTCTGCCCGCCAAAATAGTGGAAGCCAAAACGACAGCTAAACGCCTAGCAAAGAAGGCTAAAGAAAAAGCCGAGGAAGCCGCAGCTGGGTTTGTCGCGACAGCAGGAGCCGT